CCTCCTCCTCCTCCTCCTCCTCCTCCTCATCATCATCATCCTAATCATCATCATCATCATCATCATCATCATCATCATCATCATCATCATCATCATCATCATCATCAGCATCAGCATCAGCATCAGCATCAGCATCAGCATCAACATCAGCATCATCAGCATCATCAGCATCATCAGCATCATCAGCCTCATCGGCAACATCATCAGCATCAGCATCATCACCACCAGCATCATCATCATCATCATCATCATCATCATCATCATCATCATCATCATCATCATCATCATCATCATCATGTTTCGGATGCTCTTCCACGTCCCGCACTTCCTCCTCCTCTTCGCTCCATTCTCTCTTATCGTCTATATTCCCTCTCCTCGTCCTCTTCTTCCTCCTCCTCCTCCTCCTCCTCCTCCTCCTCCTCCTCCTCCTCCTCCTCCTCCCCCCTACTCCTCCTGCTGCTGCTGCTCAGGGCGGACGAATCCAAAGGATGCAGCCCTTACCTGCCCTGCCGCGGCGGGCGCGGCAGGCGTTGAAAGTGGGCACCCCCAACCGAAACGGGGGGCTTCCCCTGGAGGCGAGGGGGAACGCGGAGCGGGGGCGACACGGGAAGACAAGGCCAGGAAAAGGAAGAAACAAGACGTGGAGGGGGGAGGGGGGGGGGTCCCGACAATCTAGTGAACCCACTAGCGCCCCCTACCAATAGCGGCGGGAGCTCGACTCCAGAGGAGCGGCGTGGCCCCGATCCGGAAATTCCTCTGTGGCGGCACACCTGGAGGTAGGGGGCACTGGAGGGGTCACTGGGCAGCAGGGGCCTGGATAGTTAGTACAGAGCTAAACGACAAGTGTCCTCCACCATCTCCTCCACCGCATCGTCGCCCCCCCTTTGCCCACCTTCAATATCGGATCAGCACAAGTATCATCCGAAAACAACATACAACATGAATAATGACGTCTCGGGCACGCGAACAAGAGAAAAATAAATGATAGTCTGTAATGCTGGTGAAACTGCGGGGTAGATCGAGGGCCCCAACGCGTGAGACGGCACCACTGCCGAGACGCGTGCTCAGTAGCACTACGAGGCACGAGCGAAATGCTGACGGGGCGCTCGGGGTAATAGCAAGCGGGTGAAAAGGGCGTACTGAAGCCCGCCCAACCTTGCTCCCAGCCCTCCCCAAGGTTTTTGGCAGCGGCGGGCAGCCCCCTCTATAGGCGGGGCCCAGTGCCGTCCACAGTGTAGGCATGTTCGGCCAGGTTGTTACCAATACCTGCGTGCGAGTCGCCGAGCGACCTCGCGGGCTCTTGGATTCAGGAAGGGGCGCAGGCACGGGGCGCGCGTGCGCTTACGCGCTGTGTGGTGACAGAGATGTAGACCTGTCTGAAACACAAGGGGTGTATGACGAGGAGGGGGGAACACATGACAGGAAAGGAAATGATGAGTGAGATCCTCATGCCGCTGCCAACAGGCGGCTGAGGTGAGCCAGCATGTCGACGCGGACCGGGGCGTCGTCCGTCACGCATGCCCAGCCCGAGGTCTCCGCTTATCTGCCGCGGCGTGTTGGGAATCGGAAGTGGAATCAAAGGCGCGACGTGCCTCGCTCGAAGCGTCTCTAGGTCGGCGCGGCCCTCAGGCACTTACAGGGCGTCGCAAGGTTGCACGCGTTGGGGCCCAACAGGGGGAGGGGCGAGTATGGTCAAAGGTGGAGAAGGGAGGCATCTTCAAGATAAGAAAATGAGGTGGAGAAGCCACCTGGCTAAATCAAGCTGCGCAGCTGTTAAGCCTTGTCGGCCATCTCTGGGATTTGGCGGTTCACCCCAGCAACCTCCCCTCAAATTCCCCGAACAGCGCTTGCGAGCAAAGGCGAAACTCTGTTGTGGGTCCAATCCGCCGGTGCTTTTTGGTGATTGTTTTCGGGTTTAGCACCGTAACCCACTGTTGCCACGCGAACGGGTGCGATGTGAAACTGGGAACTGGAACGGATGGAGGGAGGAGGAGGAGCTCACCTCAGGACTAATGCGAAAAGTCATGAGCACGGGCCTAGAAACACGACCAACCTGGAAGGGCGAAGTCTGAGGATGCTGGCAAGCACGCCAAGCACGCGAACGCGTTGTCCTTCTCTCTTGCCTCCTCCGCCTCCTCCTCCTCCTCTCCTCTTTCACCTCCCCTGAAGGAAAAGGTGATCCGAGGCCCTCAGCGCAGGAGCTCAGCTCCCCTAGTGCAGGAGCCAGGTCGTCGCACCTGCAGCGACTTCTCCATGTTGGGCAGTACCCTCGCGAACACGTCCTCGAACAGCTTATCATCGGTATGACAAGAAAGCAGCTGTTCGCGGGCCAAAGTGTGAGAGTGTGAAAGGAATGTGAGAAACAAAAAAAAATCGGTAGGCCGCGCAGGGCGTGGCCGCGAGTGCCCCGTGGTGGGCAAAGGGGGGGGGGGCGGGCCCGACGTCCCTCCTCCTCCAACTCCTCCGCCTCCTCTTCCTCCTCCTCCTCCTCCTCCTCCTCGCTCCTCCTTCTCCTCCTCCTCACTCTTCTCTCCTTCATCCTCCCTCTACGCCTCCTCCTACTCCTCGTGCTCCTGCTCCTGCTCCTGCTCCTGATTCTGCCCCTCCCACTCCTCCTCCTCCTCCTCCTCCTCCTCCTCTTCCTCCTCCTCCTCCTCCTCCTCCTCCTCCTCCTTGTCCTGATCCATCCTCGATCCTGCCTCCCCTAACCTCGCTGAGCACTGTCGCCTGCTGGGACAGCGGGCACATAGAGTCTGGAAATTAGTCTGGCGAAGGACCCAACCATATGCAGTTGTGGGTATCGCATTCGGGGGAGCCCCGTATGGGGCCACGAAACGCTGTGCTGGGTGTGGCGGACGCATGCGCCCCCCCCCCCCCACACTGGGGCCTTCGGTGGAGCTCCCTATGGGGCCACGAAGCGCTGTGCTGGGTGTGGCGGACGCATGCGCCCCCCTCCACTGGGGCCTTCGGTGGAGCTCCCTATGGGGCCACGAAGCGCCGTGCTGGTGTGGTGGCGGACCATGCGCCCCCCCCCCCTCCATTGGGCCATCGGTGAAGTTCCCTATTGGCAACGAAACGCTGTGCTGGGTGTGGCGGACGCCAATGCGCCCCCCCCCACTGGGGTTTTCCGGAGGAGCTCCCTATTGAGCCACGACACTCCTCTGTGCTTGGTGGGCGGACGCAAATTGCGCCCCCCCCACAGGGTTCTGCTATCGGTGGAGCTCCCAATGGGTCCACGAGTAGCAGTGCTGGGGTGTGGCGGACGCATGCGCCCCCCCCCAACTGGGACTTCGGAGGAGCTCCCAAAGGGGCCACGAAGCGCCAGCTGGGTGTGGCGGACGGCAATGCGCCCCCCCCTACACTGGGACCATCGGTGGAGCTCGCTATGGGGCCACGAAGCGCCGTGCTGGGTGTGGCGGACGCATGCGCCCCCCTCCACTGGGGCCTTCGATGGAGCTCCATATGGGGCCACGAAACGCCGTGCTGGGTGTGGCGGACGCATGCGCCCCCCTCCACTGGGACTGGAGCTCCATATGGGGCCACAAAGCGCCGTGCTGGGTGTGGCGGACGCATGCGCCCCCCCCACACTGGGGCCTTCGGTGGAGCTCCCTATGGGGCCACGAAACGCTGTGCTGGGTGTGGCGGACGCATGCGCCCCCCCCCACTGGGGCCTTCGGTGGAGCTCCCAATGGGGCCACGAAACGTTGTGCTGGGTGTGGCGGGCGCATGCGGGCTGTGCCACTGGGACCTTCGGTGGAGTTCCCTATGGGGCCACGAAACGCTGTGCTGGGTGTGCCGAGAGCAAAGGCAAGGAGGGGGAGGAGGGAGGAGGGGGAGGAGGGAGGAGGGAGGAGGGGGAGGAGGAAGGAAGGAAGGAGAGACGCGGGGCAGTGTCTCTTCAAAACGAGGACCCAACACCACAGGATGGTTGGGAAAAATCGAGCGAGGTGCATGGCCAGCCCACTCGGCAGCGCCGCGAGAGCGGAACGATAGAGAGGGGCCTCCTGTGCACAGGGATGCAGACTGAGTCAAATCCAGGCCACAATACACCCAGTGCTCCGATCACTGATCAGCAAGGAGGTCAACAGATTACCGGCGCGCACAGGGGGAGTCTTCTAAGAATGCTGGGAGGTTGCTCGAAGGACCCTGACGCTTCCGAGAGGGCTTCTCAGAAGCCAGGCGGGCTAACGAGAGAGACACCTGCCCTCTGAGCAGCCCTCACCTTTGCACAAAGCCGACCCCCTAGCGCTACCCCGTGATGCGCGCCACCAACAAAAACTCCTAAAGCCGCCTCGCGAGCCCTCCGAGACGGATCCCACAGTGGCGACGAGAAGCCTCCAGGAGGCCCAGAAAGGACGATAAAACGCCAGAGAGCGCCGCCGTTGTCTCGACTGGCCCTCCTCCGATCACCCCTCCCACTTCCCTTTCTCGCCATCGCTCGTCCATTCCCCGTGCAGTTTTTTGTGTTTCGTGCGTGGATGTCTTGGAAGATGACCTCAAATGCTCATCGATGGCCCCTGCCGAGAAAAAATGCACTCGTCCAGGCGATGCCAAGCTTTCCCCTCTTACCGTTTCACAACTGACGGATGGCGCGCGGTTGCGCACGGGCGTGCGGGGCTGGGGCGCGCCCCCGCGCCCGGCCGTCCCGCAGGGCTGGGACGGGGGCGCCAACTGCATCGAGGGCGTATGGGCCCTCCGTTCCCGGCCCCTTCCAGGCCCATCGCCCTCTCCACCCGCACCTCCATAGACCATCACCCATCGTCCTCGTACCGCACCTCTCCCTCCGACCGGTTTCGGACGACCACTCGGGCCCCAGGTGGCCGTGCGGGACGCTTCTGGCATCCCCAGAACGCCCGTGATCAGGCGCAGCGGATGGGAACCACCCTGGGTCGCGAAAGCCCCCGAGAACCTTCGAAAACATACGGAAACCTCCAAACACGTTCGAAGACCCTCGAAAACTCTGGACTGGCCCCTCCGCCTCGTTCCTCGGCCAGGCCGTCCTGTAGAGGGCAAGCAGTGTGCCCGCGAGCAGCAGCACGACGCATGCCGACAGCGCGAGCTGCAGCACGGGCCGCTCCCACCCCATCCAGAAGCGGAAGTGCCTCGATGGGGCGGAGGGGGAAAGGCGAGGGAGGAGGAAGGGGAGAAGGAGGAGGAGGGCGAGGCGACGAGCGTGCTGGAATCGGGAGGACGCTAAGGAGGCGCAAGAGGGGGATGGAGGAGGGAGGCGAGGGGAGGCGGGGGAGGGAGGGAGGGGGGCGAGAAGGGACGGCGACGGTGCGGAGAAGGCGGAAAAGGGAGGGAGAATGAGGAGGAGTAGAAAGAGGGGAAGGAAGAGGAAAAGGCAAGCAGACAAGTCCGCAGCTTCGCGACTTCAAGAGAAGGAGGATAGAGGAGGAGGAGATTGGGGCAGGGAGAGGGGAGAAGGAAGGGTGGAGAAGGAAGGGTTGATGAGGGAGAGAGAAAGAGAAAGAGAGCCATCAGAGTGAGGGGGCCGAAGAGTCATTCACTGCCCCTGGGCGCGTGGCTGAAGTGAGGTCCTGCGGTACTGATTGTTGTTGTCGTTGTTTGTTGTTTGTTGTTTTTTTGTTGTCGTCGGACACCCCGCGACCCGGCCCGCGACCCACCCGCGACCCACCCGCGACCCACCCGCGACCCACCCGCGACCCACCCGCGACCCGGCCCGCGACCCACCCGCGACCCACCCGCGACCCACCCCACGACCCACCCCGCGACCCACCAACATTGCATTAACGAAAGAATCGGCGCCTGCGGCGGGCTCGTTGTAAAATTTGTAAAAATTAGTCGCCTGCGGCGGGCTTCTTCAGAGCCTCGCAGTCCCCACAAACCCTTTTTCTCGTACCCGCAACTTCGGGGGGCTACGACATCTATACATTACTTTACGAGTGTAGAAGGAAAGAGAGAGAGAGAGAGAGAGAGAGAGACAGAGACAGAGAGAGAGAAAGAGAGAGAGAGACAGACAGACAGACAGACAGACAGACAGACAGACAGACAGACAGACAGACAGACAGACAGACAGACAGACAGACAGACAGACAGACAGGCAGGCAGGCAGGCAGGCAGGCAGGCAGGCAGACACACACACACACAGACAGACAGACAGACAGACAGACAGACAGACAGACAGACAGACAGACACGCAGACAGACAGACAGGCAGACAGACAGACAGACACAGACAGCCAGACAAACACAGAGACAGACAAACAGACAGACAGAGAGACAGAGAGACAGAGAGACAGACAGACATACATACAGACAGACAGACAGACAGACAGACAGACAGACAGACAGACAGACAGACAGACACACAGACAGACAGACACACAGACAGAGTGAAAGAGAACAAACAAAACAATAATAGAGAGAGAGAGAAACAACGAGAGAGAGAGAGATGCAGTAAGCCAGCGAGACCGAAAGAGACAGATGGGCACATATACATAGAGGCATCGAGATAGAGGGCCACACAGAGATGCAGAGATAACGAGAGATGCAGAGAATGAGAAACAGAAACAGAGAGACAGCGAGACAGCGAGACAAAGATGCAGAAAGACGGCGAGACAGAGACACAGAGACACAGACAGAGACACAGACAGATAACAAAACAACCGAGAGAGAGAGAGAGAGAGAGAAAGAACAGTACAGCCGAAAGTCTTAAAACAAAAATCCCCCGACCCTTTTCGGCGTGTGTGAGGGGCTTGTCTAGTCTGTTCGAGCCGTCGTCCTCGTCAGTCGTCGTCTCCGTCGTCCCCTTTCCCTGCACCCTCCGGCTCAAGCCTGTCAGCGAAAGAAAGATCTAGCAATGTCGCCATCGATTCGAAGGGAAGGTCCCGAGGGGGGTCCCACGGGGGTCCCGGGGGGGGGGCCCAGGGGTGGTCCAGGCGTCAGATGCGCAATCCCCCTCTGGGGGTCCCGACGGGGCCTCAGAAAGTACCAAGACAGGCCACGAGTTCCCAAAGAGGCCCCCGAGACGGTCCCAGAGGGCACCCAATCGCCAAACGATCCGTCCAAAACGCCCTCACGCCCTCCAGCCTGCCCAAGAAGTCTCCAGTACGCCCCAAAAAGCCTCCAGGAGCACCCCCGAGAGGGCTCCACGATTAAACATTGATGTCCCCCAAGCTTTGTAAGGAGTTGGGCGTTCTCGCCTTTTCCTCTGTCCGCGGCTTCAATACGGCCCAAAAGGCCCTCAAGATCGCCCCAAAACGGCCCAAGAGGCTTCCAAGAGGCCCCCCAAACAGCCCAAGAGGACTCCAATCCACGAGCGTGCCCAGACGGGGGACCCGAACGGACATTTCGAGCCCTCGGCCCCGAGAGGCCCCCAGGGCCCCAAGAGTTCCCGAGAGGCCCCAAGAGGCCCACAAGAGGTCTCCAGGAAACCCGATGTGGCCCCAAGAGGCTCCCAAGAGGTTCCCAAGAGGAGGCTCCCAAGAGGCCCCAAAACTCCTCCCCTGAGGCCCCCCAAAGCCTTCCGAGAAGACCCCAAAAAACAGCCCTGAGGACTCTAGCCCACGTCAGCGTCGTCGTCGTCGTCGCCGCCGCCGCAGCCGCCGTTGTCGTCGTCGTCGTCCCCTATGATCAAAGGGAAACGATGTAAAAAACTTTCTGGGGCGGACGATTAAAACAATTGTTTCGCGGGCCTCCTCGCCCCCGCAATGGCGGGGGGGCAGGGCAGGCACACGGGGGGCTGACAATTCCGGCTTGCCTGGAAGGCCAGGGGGGGGGCACGGGGTGGCGGGGCCGATGCCATCCTTGCGCCTGGCGAGCCTAGCCTGGGGCCAGTGCGCCAGAGAGACCAGCCGGCGCAGGCAGCCCCTGTGGTGGCTGGTCCAGACCTCGGTCGACGCCTGGCCCAGGAGCTCGTCGTTGGGCCTCCAGGCGGGAGGCAGCCACCGCGGCCGCAGCGACCCTGGCCTCGCTCTAGCCCCCTCCAGCGCCGCGGCCTTCCAGGTCGCTTCGCAGGCCCGCTCCGCCAGGAAGAAGGGCGAGAAGCGGCGCGCGTCGAATCCCACCAACCCTCTGGGCGTAGGTGGTCCAGCGATATCCTCTCTTTCCTCTAGAACCCCCCCTTCCCTTCGGGGAAGGGTTTGCCCCCCCCCCGCCCCCTCCCCTGGACTTTTTTGGAGGGTTTCGCTGGTCGTCGGAAGGATTTTTTTCGGCTCCTGGGAGGGCCAATTTGTGACGCCACCCGCGAGGATCGCGGCCCCCGAGGGGGGTGGGCCTCGATAGGGGGGGCTTCCCTCGCTTGATCGACGGCCTCGAAGATGGCCCCAAGAGGCGCTCCCCGGCCCCCGAGAGAGCCCCGAGAAAGCCCCGAGAGGGCCCCAAGCAGGTCCCAAGAGGGCTCCAAGAGGCACCCGAGAGGCCCCCAATAAGCCCCCGAGCGGCCTCAGAGAGCCCAAGATGACCTCCAAGGCGGCTCAGATAGCCCAAGCTGGCCCACGATGGCTCCCAAGATGCTCCAAACGGCCCCGAGACCGCTCCAAAAGCGCCCAAGAGCGCCCCGAGAGAACCCAAAGAAGCGGGTTACCGTTTCCTGAGGAGGGGCCGAGTTAGGGACCCCCCCATCCAGTAATCGACTGCCTCCAAGATGACCCCCAGCAGCCTTCCAGGGTGACCGAGAGGGTTCCAAGAGGGCCCCCCAAACTCCCAGAGAGCACCTGCAGCAGCGGCGGCCTTGTCCTCGCACTCCTCGTCCTCGCCCTCATCCGCGTCCTCGTCCCCCTATTCCTCCTCGTCCTCACCCCGCTCTTGCCCCTCCTCCTGCACTTCCCCTCGCCCCAGCGCGGCCCCCAGGGATGGCCCGGAGAGGCCTTCCAAGGCCGCCCCCTTGACCCCGGGGGTTTCTCCTTTCACCCCGGTTGCTCGCTTTGTTTCCCTAGATGTGTCTCTTCGTCCCTCGGCAGGGATTTTGACTGGGCGGGCGGGGATGTTTTTTTTTTTTTTTCTGTCGCGGCCGCAAGCGGAAGCGTAGGCGGCGTCCGAAGTCAGCCATGGCTACGAGCCAAACCTAATGACCTAAGCGCGCGAACTAACGACCGCCGAAACTGCCGCCAAGGGACGCCGAGGAGCGACGCCTGGGACTGAAGGCAGAGTTGCAAGAGGTGCCAGGTGCGCCAGGCGGCTGAAGTGCAACCATTCCAGGGGCGAGACCACCGGGAAGGTAAACGACTTGTACCTCGTTGCGCCAGGCGCCAGAGGTAAACGAGCCACCCGAGCAAAGCACGGCATGGCGTGGGGCGGAGCAAGCAGCCCAGCGCACCTGTGTCGCATGCCAACAGCGTCAACCTCAGGTGGTTGAACAAGAAAGCTAAACCACGCATGGGCAATCCACGTGGAGGTGCATCCCACCATCGCAAGGCTGGCGGGGGTTCTTTTTTGTTGCCAGCCGCAGGCGAGCGCGCCGACGGCGTGTCACGGTCCGAGCGGGCCGCGCGAGGTCCTAAATCCTAAATTACCTAGCGCAAGCAGGCCGACCGCCGCAACTCAGGTCGGGACCAGGAGGTAGCCGAGGGAGGGGGCAGAGATGCAAAACTGCCAGGGGCTGCAAACGTGCATCGAGTTGGCGGGGATACGCGAAGCGTGAAGAATTCGCAGCCCTGCTCGCCTCGCAAGAGCCCCACCGCCAGCAAGTTGCCACCCGATGCGCTTCAGCGTGAGCACCAGCGCCACGACGGCATCCCGCGCTGCCGCCCACGGCAGCTGGCAGCTTTCCAAGCGCCCGCCGCCCCCCAAGCAGGCCTTGACCACCGCTGGCCAGGCCTGTCGAGCCCAAGTCGCGCTGCCGAAGGCTTGGACAGCCAAGCCCGTCGCGACGACCACGTAGCTCAGCGCTGCCCCTGGCGGCAGACGCCCAGCACTCTCGGTCGCCGCCGCGCGGAGCGCCCGCATGCGGCCTGGCGGTGCGCCTGAGGTCGCCGACCCCCAGGGCGCCTTGGCCGTCGGCCCAGCCCTCGTCACGCGGGCCTGCCTCGGTCAGTCCAGCCCCGAAGAAGCGCCTCAGCCTGGCGGTGCGCCGCCGGCCCACTCTGGCCCCCCGGTGGCCGCCTCAGCCGCTGGCGGCCCCCGCCAGCAGTAGCATCGCCGCCCGGGCCCCTGTGGCCCGACGCGAAGGCGCCCGCAGGCAGCGGCCGCCCAGCGTGCCCGAGGAGGTCTCGCTGCAGGTCGGCCGGCGAGGCGAGCACCTTCGTCTTGCCCCAGTGGATGGGCAGCCTCTTGTCCTTCAGCACGGCCACCACCCCTGAGACGAAGTGAGTGATCTGGCGCGCCAGGATGCGCCTCGCGCCGATGCCGCGCCCAGCTGCATCGTCGATCGCGTTGACCACCCGCCCGACACGGGGCAGCGCGCGATCTCGAAGCAGCAGGTCGCACAGCAGCTCATGGTCAATCCACTCGTAGAAGATCGAGGCGCCCTCGAACCCTCTGGATCTGGCCAGCCCGAGGTACAAGTTGCGCAGGCAGGCCGCCCCGTCGCAGCTGGCGTCGGAGCTGCAGCCCCAGATCTCGGGCAGAGCGCGGTCGGCTTCCCAATTGGCGCAGTAGCCCCTGCGGATGCGGCCCCAGAGGCGCAGCCAAAAGGCCGCCAGCCCAATGGGTCGCCTACCTCCGTCGGGCTTGCCCAGGAGCATTATCAGCGTCGCGAAGAGGCTCGCGGGCCCGGGGATGCGCCCCCGGGCCGCGAGGACCTCCGCCGCAAGGTTCGCGAACGGGCCCCCGAGCAGCAGCGACAGCAGCAGCAGTCTGGGGCGGAGCGCATCCCACCCCAGGGCTGTCCTCCAGGGGGGGGGCGCGGCGGCCGCCAGCACCTCCTCGCTCGCGAGGGCAGGAGGTCCACAGTGACTGCCTAGCGCGACGGGGGAGTGGGCACTCAGCGTCCGAAGGGCCGCTCAGGCCCGCCGGGGGCCCTCCCGTTCACCGCAGCCATTTCCAGTCCAGCAGCGCCTGGTCCAGCGCTGCCTACCCCGCCGGCGGCGCAGGGGGGGAACTCTGGCGCCCCTTCGCTCGCGATTGCTGGCCGCTCGGCGCGCGCAAGCTTGCTGGCCGCGCGCGCCCCGCGGGCCCCGGCGTCGCGTCGAACCTCCTCGGGGTCTGCAGCCCCAGACCTGCGCCGGGGCCCCCAGCTTCTCGAAGGAGAGGCGGACGGGGGTGCGCGGGCGCGCGGGCGCGGGCCTCAAGGCCGCCACCGTGGGCCCAAGCGCCGCCAGCGAGGCCGAGACCATGGAGAAGCCCTACTTCGTCCAGACAGGCCGGCTGCCAGCGCTGCCCCTCTTATCGCGCGCGGCCACCGCGAACCTGCCAGCCCCAGCGGATCCAGCTTCACCCCTCCGACAATGCAGGGCTCACTCTGCTCATTCAGGAACGCCTGAGGGGCCCCCAGCAGCTCCAGATTCGGCTCTGAGAGTCTGGCCGAGTGCTCGAGGTAGACGCCGACGACCGCCGCCACCAGGTCTCCGAATGCCACTCTGCGCGCCAGGACCTGGACGAGAGATCGCCCCAACGCTGGCCCAGCTGCGCCACTCCTCGAAAGCTGGCGGTGACGATGGCCACGCTTGAGGAGATCTCCTGCGCCTTCAGCCCCGCGCGCTTGCAGGGGCTCTGCGCCGCCTGGAAACCGTCGCGCCTGCGCCGGCCTTGCGCCGCCGAGGCCGCCTCCTCGGGCAGGAACCTGGCCCCCTGCGCGAGGAAGAGGTCGCCCCGGGCTCCAGCGTCGCGCAGGCGCTCGATGGCCGTGCGAGCCTGTGCCCAAGAGGAGCCACCGATGGTCGCGATGCTCGCCGCCGTAAGCTCGCGGGGGGTCAGCTCGGCCAGCGCCGACACCCTCGCTCCAGACGTCGGGCCAGCGTCTCCTGGAGGTGCCGCTGAGCTCCTCCGACAGCGCCAGCAGCGCCGCTGAGCACCGTCGCCGGCGGGCCAACATCAACCGCCGCCTCCACCAGGTCCTGCGCCGCGCCAGGCTGCGCCCGCGGCCATGGGCCCGCCGCAGGCGGCCGCCTCCTGGCCTTCCCGCGGTCTGCGGCTGGCTGGGCGGGCGGCCCCACGTCCGCGTCGGAGTCGAAGCCACCGCCGCCCTCGATGCAGTAGACGTCCCACTTATTCCGACGCTGCTCCGTGGCTTCGGGCCCCTGCAGGGCAAGCATCTCTTCCACGGCTTGCAGCTGCTGCACGGTGAGCTCCCAGGCCCTGGCAAAGTTGCCCGCCACGCTGCAGGAAGAGCCCACGCATGACATGCGCAGCTGCAGGAAGAGCCCTCGCATGGCCTCCAAGTCGCCCTCGAAGACCCGCAGCCGTTCGTGACTCGCCTTGGCCTTCGCAGCCTCCTCCTCCAGCGCCGTGAGGCGGTCCTGCGCTTCCCGCTGGCGCCACTCGGCTTCCCCCAGCCTGCCGTGCGCCGCATGCAGGGCCGTCTCCGATGCGAACACCTCCGAGGTGGCCGTGTCGAGGGTCGAGGGCCTTCCTCGCCCCCGCCGACTCGCGATCGGCCTTGCCGACCGTGCCGGCTGCCCTTCGCAGCCTAGCCGCTGGCGGAAGGCCCGCCTCCTTGTCCGCAGCCAGCAGCGCTGCTGCTTCCTCGTTCCAGGCCCGCAGGGCGGTCCGCCGCTCCGCCGCGAACTCGCCGCCTCTGCCTCCCAGGCTGGGGAAGACCTCGAGGTGCTCAATGGTCCGCTGAAGTTCCTCCACGGGGGACGGTTTGCCCGCGGCTGGCGCGGCCGCGCGGCCGCCTCCTCCTCCAGGTGCGGCTGAGCGGGAGGCCGCGGCAGCAGCAGCTGCGGTGCGCGCCCTGCTTCGGCCTCACCTGCCCTTGCCAACCTGGACGAAGCCCTCGGAGTCGGGTTCAGGCTTGCTGGCCGCGCGCCTGACCGCCCATGGGGGGGGGCCTGGCAACCAAAGCAGCGCGGGCGAGTGCAGAAGCTCCGCTGCAAGCAAGAGCACCACCAGAAGGAGCCGTCACCCTTCTCGACGCGAGCGCCAACACCGGCAGAGCCGGCAGCAGGAGCCACCATCCCGCCGCGGCCGCGCACCGTTTAGCATTTTCTCCCTGCCGAACTTTCCTTTGGCCCTCGGCGCAGAACCCCTCGCGCCCGAAACGCCACGGACGACTCGCGGTCGTCGGGCGCTCCATGGCCTTGACCCAAAATTGCTACGGACGTAACAGTTTGTTGGGCCACCTTGGGACATCTTGGCAGTCTCTTGCCGTCGTCGCGGAAGCCTCTGGGGCAGAAGAAAAAAACAACAACCAGAGCCACACTAAGGAACCCCAGTGCCACCTGGTGCCCAAGTGGGTTGCGAGGACGAGGAGGAGGAGGATGATGATGAGGAGGAGGAGGAGGAGGAGGAGAAAGAGGAGGAGGAGGAAGAGGCGGAGGAGGAAGAGGAGGAGGAAGAGAAGGACGAATCCGCCACTTGTATTGAATGTGTGCTCTTTCTGTCGGTCTGTCAATCTGCCGACGCAAACGAAATGTACCGAGCCCACGCAGTGCTTATGCGGAGACAGCTCCAGCGCATAAGCGCTGACGTCCAAGGCATATATAGATCCCCCCCTCATAAGTTCCTTTTTTATCTGTTTGTTCTGTATGGTGTTCGCATTCCTCTCCCCCTTGTCCTTCCTTCCCTCGTCCTCTTCGGACCTTTCTCCGACATCATTTGTAGCTGATGGTTGCCGACGTTGCTGATGGTGTGCTCTGCCTCCTATTGTTGCTATCGTTTGGCCAGGCCGCCTTCCTTCGCCGCCAGAGGCAAGATTTGCGATCGGCATGATCGAATTGAATCCTCCGCTTACCCCTTGGCAAGACCTGGAGCGACGCACAGACAAGCACCCCGAGATAGCCAAGGCTGGTCTCTGCAGCCCCTGAGGTGGTCCAGGGCTGTGCAGCCCACAGCGGTCCAGCGGAGCCCTGGGGACGCTCCAGGCTCTTGAGCCGCCGAGAACTGCCCCTGGGGGCCCTGTTGAAACCAGCCAGGGCCACCTATGGGAGCTGTCCGTGCGCAACCCGCAGCCTCTTGCCAATCCATCCTGCCTCTCGTCCCCAGTCGCTCACTGACAGCCCGAGGGCCCCAGCCCAGGAGTTCGGGAGACCGAAGACGGCGAACGAAAACTCGTCCCAGACCTACACCTCCCTCTCCCCTCTCCTCCTCCTCCTTCTCCTCCTCCTCCTCCTCTTCCTCCTCCTCCTCCTCCTCCTCCTCCTCCTCCTCATCCTCCGCCTACTCATTATCCTCCTACCTTCTCTTCCTGTCCTGAAGAGATCTCCGACGCCGGTCTCGACCACCTCGCCGAGTTCGAAGGGGGGGGTCGGGCCGTTCCGTCCTGTCGCCGAGCAGCACGAAGGCCTCACTGACGGGCAGGCCGACCTGGGTCCCGGCCATGGGTCTTGAGGCTGGGACAAGTGGGCGGAAGGGGCGGGGACTCAGACACGCAACGCACGCGCCGTGGAAAAATCACGGCGACGGCGGGAGGTTGTTGGGCATGGAGCGATGGAGGAGGGGGGGAGGGAAGAGGTCGGATGGCGGAGGAGGAGGAGGGCGGAGGAGAGCGGACCGAGGATGGCGGAGGAGAGAGGGTCAAGAAGAAGTGAGGAAGGAAGGGGAAAAGTCTGCGGGAGGAGGGCAGGAGCAGGAGATAGGAGGGAGAGAAAGGAAGAGAGCACGGGAAGGGGGACCGGGCCAGGGGGAGGGAAGGAGCGATGAGGAGAGAGAGACGGCGGGAGACAGGGGGGGCGTGGCGAGGAAAGGGGGGGGCCCTCTGTCTGACCCACGGGGCGAGGATGCGAGCCTCCTGCGCGCGACACCCTCCTCTCCAGATCTTCCCCGCTGGATGGGGGGAGGGCCCCTCCGGAGGACGGTCGCCCCGCCGGAGGACACCCGTCTGCGGAGGCCTCCGCGGGCCCCAGCAGCAGGCCCAGAGGTGCCCGAGAATTAAGCAGGGACCGACCGTCCTATCTAGGCCTACCACGACAGTTTCTCAGAACCCCAAATTGCTCGACAAAACAAACACAATGTTCTTAGAACATGAAGCCGCTGCGCTAACACAAAACAGTCTCGGCCAGACATGTTCTAAGAACATGTCGTAAGGTTATTAGAACATCCTTGGGTGGGCCTACAGGCAAGCCAGAACGCTTCGCCACTGCTCGAAAGAGCCTCGACCCCCGATCCGAAGGCGGACGAGCCAGTGGACTTCGCAGCGAGCATCACGACGGCAGGCTTTCGTCCGCGCTTCTGGGCCTCCGCAGGGGGGGGGGCCCTCGCCTGGCGCCAGGACGGGTCCGAGAAACGCTTTTCTGAGCGGGGCGACGAGCTGGCACCCCGGAAAAGGGATCGGGACTTTCCGGGGGACCCCGCATGGAACCCAAAGCAAGGCATCGGATGGGGGGCCTCTGTTTCGGCGGCGAGCCCGGAGGGGAGGTGAGAAGGAGAAGGCCTTCTCAGAAGGCTCGGAAGTCCCGCGGCCTTCTGAGGGGTGCTCTGAGCCTTCCCGAAGACACGGAGGGCACTTCTCAGAAGGCGCGAGGGCTTCTGAGAAGTCCCGCCGCCTTCTGGGAAGGCCTTCTCCTTCTCACTTCCCCCCCCCTCGCTCGCCTCCGACGATTATTCTGAGAGCGGCTCTGAGTCACCCTCAGAATACAGGCCCCCCGCCCTACCACCGAAGCCCTTCAGCAAACGCACCCCGAGGAAGGAACTCCGACGAAGGCAGGGCCGCTTTGTAAACGCACAGGGTTCTGAGGGAGTCTGGCACGTGAGCGGCATCACGCAGGCAGCACAATGCATCGTGCGACTTCAGCCTTCCTCCTTGAGCTCTCGACGACCGGCCTAGCGCCGAGAGAGCCGAAACGTTGGGGACACTATTGCTGACCGTCGAAGCTCCCTCACTGCATCGACCTTGCAGACGTGCTGCAGATTTTTGCGTGGATTTCTGCCAGCGCAGCATCCCGAAACGGCGAGCGAAAAACGAAGTGAATTTCGCGTGGGTGTTTTGGAGTTTCATTCCTGGCCCAAAAACAATCCGCCCGCAATTCACTTCGAAATCCGGAACGAAATTCTCCATGACACCCTGGGCCCATCCCATCGTTTTCCGAACGAACTCCGCTCTGCGATGTTAGCGACATGAAAACCAATGCTGACCGTCGCAGCTCTTGGGCCCGCCTCGTCCCAGTCGATCGCCTCGGCCTCCCCTCATTGGACCGGCCCCGTCGGCCTCCCGAGCGGGGCCCGCGCCGGCTGGGAGCCTCTCCAGACCCGCGCGGCGACGCCCCGCGGGGCCGCGGCGACCGCGCGCGGACCGCCGAGCCGAGCAGCGAGCGGCGAGCTGTAGGTCGGGCAGTGCCCCCTGCAGGCAGATTTCTGGAAGGGAACATAAAAGTGGTCAACACAGAATCAAACACATTCAAAAATAGTCCAAACATCTTCACCAGACTATTTTTTTACTACTTCTGAATACTCTGGGATTCTTGATAAGCGTGGGGGGGGTACTTCCCCCGACGGGGTCAACCTCGCCTCGTCGTCGCGCCGCGACGGGGGTGGGAGCGCCTTCGGCACGCGGTGGCTGCCCGCGACGGGGGTCGATGTGCGGCTGTCGGCGGGGGTGACACCCCCCCGACGCTGATGAAGAAAATCGGGGTATGCGGGCGTCGGAGGTGCCGGGGGGAGGGGTATCGATCTGGCGTTAAGTCGGGCATGTCCCACTACAGGAGGGATATTCAAAAGCAGCCAAAAAAATCAGGGGGAATATTTGTTTGACAAATGTCGAATATATTTGATGATTGTTTGACTATTTCGATTTGTCCTCCCAAATCCGCCTGTAGGAGGACAGGCCGACATAAAGCTGAGGCGCGGAGGGCGAGGACGGATGCCTCCAGTCCACGCCTCGCTCGCTCCGAGCGTCGGCTTGACGCCCTCTTGTCGGAGAGACGTGAGATTTCGGTTCGAGGCACTCGGGTTGGCCTGACAGGGCCGCAAAAGAAAACGGCGAGACCCAGTCTGAAATTATACGCGAGCTCGCGCTGCTAACATTCCACGCAAAACTGGACCTTCACAACCCAGGACGGGCCCGCTTACAAGCACCTGCGAAGCCGAGCTTCGGCGAACTCGAATCTTTCCTGTCCTCAACCTCGCGCTGTCGTAGCCGCAAAAACCTCTCCAGGGCCTCCCCGAATACCTTCTCGTTCGCCGCTCGCCGCGCTGCGACGCCGCGCTGGCGCGCCGCTCGCACCTGGGGACCTCGCCGCGCAGTGTCGGGGGACACCCCTGCCACCGCACCGGCTCGGGGGGGTTTGCTGCAGAGAACCTCGGCGCCCAGAGGCATCATCGGAGCACGACCAAGCGGCCCCCAGATGAGACGAAGCTAGGACACGGATAAATTCGGGTGAGGCTAAATCGAGAATCTCTGAGTTGCGGCGGCTCTGAAGATGTATCAGGTGTCGCGGCCTTCTCAGCGCTTTCCGGAACGCTCTAAGAGCGTTCTGGATCGCCCTGGAGCAGATTTGCCCTCGTCCCGGCCCTGTCCGACCAGAGTCACATCCCCGCCTCCTCGCGTCGTGGGAAATGGGGGCCCTTGCCGGGCATCGGGGCTGTCAAATACAGTGGAGGCCAGTCCACAAGAAACCTTCCACAAGAAACTCAACCCTGATACCCTAGGACGCCCATGGTGTGGGAACGTCACGCTTTCCGTAGCAAAATCATCGAACACCCAAGCAACTCAGGGCACCCTGGAGGCAAGCAGGGTGTTTCTTGGCATGGGTCTCCACTGTAGCGACCCGAGACGAGACACGGGCCCCCGGGGAAGCTGTCGAGACCTCCCTCTGGTGGCCCACGTTAGATGGAAAACATCGCATCGGCGGGGGTCCTGGGTTCCTCCCCAGGGCCCCAGAGCTGCCCCACGCGCCATCTCGGAGGGAGGAGAAGGAGGAGGAGGAGGAGGAGGAGGAGGAGGAGGAAGAGGAGGAGGAGAAGGCGGAGGAACTGAAGGAGGAGGAGGAGGAGCAGGAGGAGGAGGAGGAGGAGGAGGAGGAGGAGGAGGAGGAGGAGTCCGACGACGGGGAGGGGATGCGGAGGGGGCTCGTGTAGAAGAAAGAAAAGCGGCGTAAGGATGAACTATTGGCTCTCCGCGCAGATTTCTCGGATCTGCGCTGGACCCCCCCTCCCTGGGGCTGCGCTGGAGGCGCCGCCAGGGGGGGGGGGGGGGAAGCAGCGCCGATCCAAGAAATCCGCGCGGAGCGCCAAAAGTTTATGGTTAATGGTTCTTACCGTTGTTTGCTCCTCGATCGTGGCAGGGGTGGCGAAGGGGAGGAGGCGGGAAGAGAGTGCGAACCTTTCCTGCGCCTCGGGCGCAGAGGAGTGCAGCGGACTCCACAGAGTCAGATGAAAAGCGCTGGCGTTCCCCGGGGCGCAGCCCTCCTGCTGCAGGGAGGCCCACTCGGCGAAGGCGGCCCCGTACGGCGGGCGGTGCAGGGGCACGAAGGACACCGAGAGCAGCAGCCCGCGCGGGCGCAGCAGGGAGCGGACGCCGTCGAGGGCCAGGCGCATCTCGGCGCGGCTCGCGGCGGGGGGGAACCGGCAGGCCATCCCGTCGATCACGTTCTCGTCCACCACGAGGTCGAAGCTGCCGGCGGCCACGGGCGCCGCGAGGGCGCCGCCGCCCTCCGCGCCGCCGCGGCGGGCGCGGCGCCGCCGAGACACGGAGGTGACGTCCCCGGCGACGAAGCGGGGCGGGCGCGCCTGGCGGCGGGCGACCTCCTCGAGTTTCCTCGTGGCGACCCCCGACAGCTCCAGGCACGTGACGTCCGCCCAAGCCCTGTCCGCCAGCGCGAACGCCAGCGGCGAGAGGCCGCACCCGAGCACCAGGACCCTGCGGCGCCCGTGGCCCCCGAGCGCCAGGCCGGGCGGGCGGTCTGGGCGGTCGGCTGCCGAGCCCGCAGACGCGGCGTCGGGGAGGCCTCCCGCCAACAGAGCGCCAACGCACGCCAGCGTCGAGCTCAGGTGCAGGGCGTCCGTCCAGCCGCTCGCCGGAGCGAGGGTGCCCGCAACCCGCGGGTCCCCCGCGACTTCCCAGCTGTCCAGCACCGTGGCGTAGTGCAGGTTCCACCACTCCTCCGACATCTGCGCCGGCTGCAGGGACTCGTCCGGCTGCGCCGGCTCATCCGCGACCCCCAGGAACAGGCCGGACACCAGAGCCACGACCAGCAGGGGGTTCCTCCACGCAACAAGCGGTCGGATAAGCGACATCAAGAAAGAAGACCGCAGCGCACCATTCTGGCAACCCCCTGAGCCAGACTGGCTACGAATCCAGTGGGGGAAAAGGATGATCACGAGAAGAAGGATGGAGGGAGGAGCTGGGATGGAGAAGTAAGGGAGAAGGA